CTTTCGACTTGGATTGTTCTTGTTTTTCTGGGATATAGATGTACATCACTAGGTTATTTATTTGGACTTACTCTGTCTTTGTGATGTGGACATACAAATATATAAACGTTCCTCTTAGGATTGCTTTCATTGTGTCCCATAAGTCCTGGTATGCCTTTTTGGGTTTGTTGTTTAATTCTGGGAACTGCTTTATTTCTTCCTTGATTTCTTCTGTGACACATTTATTATTCCAGAGTGTATTGTTTAATTTTCATGCATAATTTCTGTGGTTTCTTTTTGCTGTCGAATTCTAGTTTCATTGCACTATCATTATATGTATGCCATAATTTAAATTCTTTTGCACTTACTTTGAAATGCTTTATTGGCTAGTACATAGTCTATTTTGGAGAAAGTACCTTGTTCTGCTGAGAAGAATGTGTGTTATGTTGTTGTTGGGTGGAACACTCTAGGTATCTATTTAAGTCTATTAGTACAAAGGCTTGATTCAGCTCTAATAATTCTTTGCTGAGTTTTTGTCTAGTCAATCTATTTGTGAGGGTGGGGTACTGAGATCCCCCACTACAATTGTATTGTTTGTCTTATCTTTTATGATATTTGTTTTATGAATTGAGTTATGCCACTGTCCAGTGTATGGAATTTATAATTCTTATTTCTTCCCATTAAATTGTTCCTTTAGTCAATATGTGTCACCATTCTTTGCTTCTTATGATCAGTTTTGTCTGAAAATTGGATAACTACTTCTGCTTCTTTTCAGATTTTTATTGTATAGAATATTGTTTTCAACCCTTTGATTTTTAATGTATGGATTTCTTTTGGGGTTAAATGTGTTTCTTTAATATATTATACCATTAGGTTTTATTTCTTGACCCATTCTGGCCAACTTGTGTTTTTTGATTGGCTCACTGAGACCATGCACACTGAGAGTTACTATGGAAAGATAGTGCCTTATTCCTGTCATTGCCTTATTTTTTCTGTTGCTGATTCTCTTTCTTTTTCTTCTACTTAATTGCTCACCTTTCCTGATGCACTGATTCTATTGGACCTTTTGGCATTGTTAGTCTTGTTGTCTCTTTCTTGGATTTCCTTGAGAATTGTTCTGAGTGCTAATTTGGTGGTCATGAATTTCTTTAGATGTTCTTTGCCGTGGTAGGATATGTTAGTCCAGGTTGAGAGGTTTTTTTCTTTTTGTTTGTTTTTTCGTTTTGTTTTAGGTTTTGAAACACTTCAAGTTCTCCTTGCCTTTAAGGTTTATGTTGAGACATCTGGTGTAATTCTGATGAGTTTTCCTTTAGAAGTGATTTTTGTTTTTCTCTGACAGTTGTTTAAGATTCTGCACCTGTGTTGGACTTTTGGGATTTTGATTATGATATGTCATGGATTAGCTATTTTTTGATAATGGCCATTTGAGGTTCTTTATTCCTCAATTATCTGTGTGTTAAATTATTTCCCCATACTACAAAAGTTTTCTGATAATCTTTCTGTATAAAGATATTTTATATCATTTGTGCCATCATTAATTCCAATTAATCTTACCTTACTCTTCGTGTCACCTAACAGCTTTTGAATTCATTTTTCATGATGTCTTGTTTTGAAGGTATTTTTTGATAGTTGGTCACTGTAACTTTCAACAGCATCCTCTAGGTGATTCTGGTTGGCATCCTCTAGGTGATTCTGACCCTCTGCCCTCACAGTGGTCACTTCTGCTGTGCATACTTTTAGTGGAAATTTTTAATCTCCTGAATTTCTTTCTGGTACATTTTCATGAACTCTAATTCTTTCTTGTGCAAGTTATTCATATTTTGTGTTTGTTTGTTTAGCTCAGCCAGCTTTTAATAAAACTGTCTTCCTGATCATTTTGGTAGGATCATTATCTTTAGTTATATCTTCCTTGAACTCATCAAGCACCTTATTGATCTATTTTTAACTCTTACCCAACCCTAACCCTAACCCTAATCTTAACTGTTATCCTTTCAAATAATTTGGCTCTTTGCCTTTGGATTTCTTCCCTCCTCAATGCCCTCTTGATTAATTTGGACGATCTGGAAGTTTTTGGAGACATTTTGTTGCCCTGTTATCTCATGTTTCTCTTTTTTATTTGTTTATTTTATGTTCTGGAGCTTGTGGCCTGATTATGGTGGATGGCTTTGTGCTGTGGAAACCTCTTTAGTTAATGTCTCCTTTCAATGATGCACTCTTGGCATGGCTAACTATAGCGTTTACCTCTGTCCCAGAATCACCCCTCTCTCCATCTCCATTTATTTGGGAGGAGCAGTTTCAGTATATTTGCTTCAGTAATCATTTCTCCTGGAATGGGCCACAGTATTATTAACAACAGTAAAATAATCCAGATATTGGCATACAGAGAAAGCCAACTGATAGCAACAACTGTGTCTTTTTGGCTATAGTAATACTATCAGCAGCAATATTAGTATCAAAGACAAACTGTATATTGACATGTCATAAGAACCAATAATGTGTCACCCTAATGATTGTAGCACAAACACTAAGATAAACTAAATAATGATGTAGAATAAATATCTTATAAATGAAACAACTTTGCCTCCACTAACAATAGCATATCATACAATAATAATAGTGTATTTATTTATGTATAGATAAATAAAGGAAAAAATTGGGCCCAAAGTTTCTTTGTATTTCCAGCTGAGTATTTTCCTTCCAGGACATGTAGTCTTTAGAATTCAGCAAGTTACAGTCCTCTTTGCCCAGCTTTATGGCTCATAGTTTGTGAGGCACCCTCCCTGCTCCAGTACCTCCTCTGTCCATAAACCTCAAACTGTGACAACCTGCCCAGCTGACATGCGTCCTTGCTCGTGTTGGTAGGCAGGAAAGCAGTCGGCCATCTGTCTCTGTTGGATACTGGCAGCAGGCCAGGGGCTCAGCAGACTGCAGGACTCAGTACCATCACCCTCGGATCCAGCCATCTCTGAAAGCCAGAACCTCTAGGCCTGGCCTCCCAACATGTGCAGGGCCTTGTAGCTTTGCCTGCCTGAGCTCGTACTTCTCAGGGGATCTAGGTCTCGTCTCACTCTATTATGGCAGTCTCCCATCACTGTCCTCATCCAGTCACTACTGTAGGGTAATACTGACAATCCTGGAAAGAAGTTGTATTGTGGTTTTTCTATAGTTTAATGCTACACAATTAACCCCTTCCCAAAATGGTTCCTGATTAAATCCTTTCTGCTGACATGGCAAACGAAGCCATATGACTTTCTTTCTACAACTGTATCCTTTCATGAAGAAGTCATTCAGGCTAAAAACTATGTTGTTTTTGCAGTTTACAACACCTGATTTAATGTCCTGAATCAATTCAAAATGTTTACTTTTCATGGTCATTTTGAATTTAGGGAACAGCCAGAGTTACAAGGTGCCAGATTAACTAGGGGGAAGACACACCCTGATATCTTTATGAGCCTGCTTTTCCATTGGATGGAACTCAGAAGTTGCACTGATTTTATTTTTGATTATACTTTGAAAATCATTTTCAGTGCAAATGCCATCAATCTCAAATTGATTCCATTATCAGTTTATATATCAGTTTGTATATGGGACAGCAAGCTGAAATTTCTTTTCCCCTTTTTGCTGTTGATGGAATTTTTTTTTTTTTACAATTTTGTTTACATTTTTCACTTTTTTAACTATAATTAACCAATTATAGTCTTGACTATTTTCTTCTGTGGCTCTTGTTTTACCACATCAAATTCTTACACTTAGATTTTACTCTGCAGTTTAGCCATTTTCATTTGTATTTGTTTGATTGCTTCCACCAGGAAAAACCATTGTAAATTAAATTAAGAAAAACAGATAGTTTAACCTAGATTTTAGCCAATCAGAGGATAATTGTGAACGTTACCCTTCAAGTAGCCCAGTACTGTTCTATTGTTGTACCTGGAGTCCACAATGAACTGAGGTATGTGAACCATAGTAAATTCGTAGATTATTAAACCTCACTTCACTCATCTGTAAAATTGTGATGATGATAAAGCTACTAACTTCTTGTGAAGCATCAAAGTAAATCACTGGGAAAAAATTTTAGTGTAGAGTAGGTGTCCAATATATGCTATTTGTTTTCATTGGTGTTACTGGAGATCACTAGTATAATGTCAGTTACATCACTTCCTACTTATTGCTTTGTCAAAAGTATATTCACCATCCACACTATTAGTAAAAAGCAAGTAGTTATTTCAAAATGAAAATCAGAACGGTCCTATTTAGGTGTAACAATCTTGCCTCATCTGGCTGCCTTTGGGAAGAGAGAAAAGAGAAAATATTTGCAATGAGCCTGATACATAAAATGTGGTTTTCTTTGTCCTTTCCTTTGGTGTGTACTTTGAGTCTAAAAGATTGGATAATGAATTTTATGATAGGTTTCTTAAGCTTTTCTAGGTAGCTGGCCTTCCTAAATGCTGAAAGGTTTGATATCTGATTTATGTATTATGGTAAATTGGCCATCCTGAAGCTCTTACATCTTATCCAGATTGTCATAATAAAGGTTGTTTGCTGCTGTTGTTTTGTGGCTCTCACAGTGCAATAGCACTTTAAGATGCTTTATGTGCTTCTCAAGATCATAAGCTTAGTATATGTTGGGTATCCCTTATCCAAAGACCGAGAGCAGAACTGCTTAGGACTTGGAGTTTTTTTGGACTTTTGAGATGTTTGTATGCACTTAATGAAATATCTGGGGGTAGGATGTAAGTCTGAATATAAAATCTGTTTGTGTTTTATATATACACTTTATACATAGAGCTTTAAGATAATTACATACATACTTTATACAGAGAGCCTCAAGATAATTTTGTACAATATGTGTAATAACTTCGTGAATAAAACAAAGCTTCCTGATGTGAAACTTTATACTTATGTCACATCAGTGCCCCAAATGGTTCAGTTTTTGAATATTTGGAATTTGGATTACAGTTGCTTAACCTGTAGATTGTGTCTATAAAAGAGATGTGTGCATTTCATGTTTTTGTCTTTTTTAGATTTACTTGTGGGTGCATTTGGAGCAGGAAAAGTGACTGTTTACAGGTATGTGATTGGTTCTGCACATATCTTGTTTGAATTATTTTAAATGTGTTTATTTTTGTTTCTTGGTCGTAAATACTGTATTCTAACTATTTATTCTGAAGGATATTTTTGTACTTACTTTATAGCCTTGAGGTCTCTTTGACCTCAGTTTTGAACCTTTCATCCTTCTATATTTTATTCTTATACTTTATGATCAGATTTCCAGTCCCTCACTATGTAACATTAAATAAGATATTAAACTCAACCAATCTTAAAATGACTCAGTTTTAAAACGTTTTAATTCATTGTGCTTTCAAAATCAATGAGATAGGAACCTGCATAGAAGGGGTCCTGGATGGAAGAAAGATACCATTTTCTCCAGTTTCTGTCATGAAGTCTAGAGGCGAAAGTATGGAATAGGACATACCAGAATTGAGTTTCTTTGTATTGAGCAACAATTCAAATGCAAAAGGAAAGCTTGAAAGTCTTGCCATTCTATACACTCACTGATTTTAGTCTTGGACAAATCATTTCCTATAACTCTGTAAACCTTCACATTTTAATTTGTAAAATGGGAGTAACAATACCTCCTTTATCAGGTTACTTTTATTAAAGGGATTCAGGGAGAATCTGCATGTAAAATTACATGGAATAATAATTGGTTAGACAGTTGTTGCCCAAAAATTTTAGATTTTCTTTAAAAATTATTTAACAAGAATTAGAGAACCTAGATCAAAATATCTAAACAAAAGATAGAACATAGATAAGTACACTGAGAATGTGGTTCTAATCCATTCAGCTCTCAAAGAGAGTCTAAAGTTCAGTTTTCAAAATGGATAATATTTTTTTCTTTATCTGTCTCAAGACAAACTCAACAAGGGTATGTTTATACCAATGTCTCTCTTCTTCAGCTTCTAAAGAATCAAAAGCCTGAAACTCTCAAAGCCTCTGAGTATGAAATGGGGCTTGGGTTCTGGTGGCCATGAAAGTGCACCACTCAGAGCTGCCAGAGACAAACTGACCATGTGCCAGCCCCATCCCCACTGCTACACTGTGAATCTGCTGCAGCCTTTGTATCAATGCTTATATTTCCCATGAGCTGCTCCCACTCAACAAGGAGAACAACAAGGAATAAATGCAAGGCTCTTCCTATAAGATAGCAACTCCTCACACAGGCAACTCTGGCTCATGGATATCTAATACATGGATTTATGGATCACCCACAACCGAATGTTCTATCCAGTCCTATCTTCTTCCCTCTACCCTTCCAAAGATCAGAATTCCCCTTCTCCATTCACTTCATTTTTTCTAATAAGGGTTTGTCATGATAAACTTTACTCACATCTAATTCTATTTTACCATCTGATTTTTCAAGGATTAGAACATAATATTAACAATAATATAAAATAAAGTACAGATAAATACCATAAGGGAGTTTAGGAAAAATCCCAGTGGGCCTCATGTGGTAATCATGAAGTTGTTTGAAGTAGTGCCCTAAACAACATTCTGCCCCAAGACACAACCATTCTCTCCATCCGTTGGAGGAAAATTCATCCAACATGGCTCATTGCATGCAGAAATTTGGCAGGTCTGGCTCCCAGCAATCATATCTTGCAATCAAGCTTTAAAAATTGCTTCACTCCCTTCCCCTGCGATTTACTTTTTGTCTTATTATCCTTGCTTGGGTGGCTGGAATGGCTTTTCCTCTATTTCATTTCCTCTCCTCAAACTTGCTGACCTGCTAGAATCACCTGGAGAGTATGTTTGAAATTGCAAAGCCCAACTCTGAACCCAGAAGTTCTAGTTTGTTGATCCCTAGGGTGGGGCCTGTGCACAGTGTTTGTTTAAAAGCTTTTTGGGTAATTGCACTGTATAGTCAGGATTGCAACCATTGCTTTGGATGAAATATAGAATTATTCTGTAAACGCACCTTCATGTTTAATTAGACTTGTAAAACTCAGCTACAAAGTTACGACTCAAAGTAAAACACTGTCAGTGAACCAAGAAGATTTGTAAAATTCAAGTATTTACTATGAGTGGATGTAAGATAGTTCTCAAATATGGGCACAGGTAAGCAAATTGCAGAGCTTAATGTCACAGCAGCAGTGTCATCATATCACAAGTCTACTCCCTAACCATAGCAGGTTTGTGAATGAAATTATGCCCAGAGCACCTATGCATGCTTTGTTTAGATTTCCATGCTAGAGAAGTGTTTAGAGGTAATTAATTGAGTGATATCCACCTGTCCATGCATAAGCCAAATATTTGGCCCAGGTGTTGCAGGGGCCTCTTCCATAAAGGCCGTATAGACCTTGTGTTTTTTTTTCCCTGCAGAGCAAGGCCAGTTGTGACTGTGGATGCCCAGCTTCTCCTGAACCCAATGATTATCAATCTTGAAAACAAAACTTGCCAGATTCCAGAATCTGTGACACCTGTGGCTTGGTGAGTCAACCTTGTGTTTCTCAGACTTAAGGCAAAACTATCCCTGTAAGATGAGCAACTCCTCTCCACCACCAGTTCTGGTTCATGGACACCTCGTACATGAGCTCTGTGGATTCAGATCACCTGAGTACCTTATAAACTACATGTGGGTTTGGTGTAGTAAGTCTGGAGTAGGGTCTGAGGCTTTGCATTCTAGAAAAAGCTTCAAGAGAGGGTTTGGTGCTGGAAGCCTGTGGATCAAGTCTGAGTAACAAGGAAGTAGCTTTTTTTTTTTAAGAGAATAAAGCAGAACATAACAACAGAATAAAGCGGATCAGAAAAAAAAATAATGCAAGCAACACAGAATATCAAAACAAAACAACAGGAAATCAGCAGTGGCTACCATAATATCCCTTGTTTTCTTTGAAATAGTTGTCCGTATCTTCACATACAATGAGTTAAAACAAAAACAAAATAGTATAAAGCCAATCAAAACAAAAGAATGAAAGCATTACAAGCATTCAAAAACCAGACAACAGGAAAATCAACAAAGGCTACCATTATGTCTCTTGTTTTCTTCAAAATAGCTGTCCATAGCTTCAGAAGTAATCTTTCAAAAGAATCTATGATGTGATGCTGTTCTTTAGCTCTCGATTTACCATACAAAGCAAGTTCTCTGATCTATAGGCTCTAAGTGAGATGAGAAGTATGAAAACATTTGAGAAGATTCTCACTGAAACACGTCTCAGCAATCTCTGAGTTTCTTGCATTCTCAAATAAATATTATGCAAACTAAAAATAAAACAGCATCTTGACTCTTGCATTTGCATGTGCTTGTGGATACCACTTGCAGATGTATCTTGCATCCTTCTATTTTAGTGACCTCACTTGGGTTCAGTTACTCTAATTCCTATGTGGAAAACATGTCAGTTTTGTAATTCAGCATGTACAGAAGGTACACATTATAAATACGGAGACTTGTGTGCCCTGAACTAGATTTTGAGGTCATGAAGCTATCATCAGGAATAGTGTCATAACCATAGTTCTTTTTGCCTGGACCCTGGTATGACATGGTTCATGTATTCCTACTGGCTCACATGTACTCAAAGGGCAAAATGAAACTTGATTGAAACACAATCCAAGAAAATGTTATGTTGCTTTTAAATATGAATATAGATCCTCAAGAGTCAGAAGTCATCAGATTAGAACATGTCACCAGAGCATATTCTTTGGAAAACCAAGTCTAGCACTCTGAGAGGCTGAGGCAGGAGGATTTTAGGTTTGAAATTAGGCTGCACAACATTGTAACCTAGTAAGATTCTGTGTCAAAGAGCCAAAGGACTGGGGTCACAGCTCAGTGTGACTTCCTTGGGTTCAATCCCCAGTACCATAAAGGAAAAATCCAAAGTTTTGAGATTGGAGATTTGCCCTCATTTTGCAGGCAATGTGGTCTAACTCAGGCAGTATGTCTAGTCCCTGAGAATATCAGAATGTAGATCAAGTCAGTCTTGACTTGGAGAAGTTATTTCCAGCCCATTTTGGCATGTTTTTCATGGCCTTTTGACAGGAGTCAAAACTTTTGAGAGCAGAAGGTGGAAAGTTCCTAGGACCTCTAAGAATTCTTTTGAAAAACATCCTGTTGCTGAAAACTCCTGCACGGGGAGGCATGTCCTGGCCTTTAACTGCTTTTGAAAAGATTTGGGAAATGCCCTGAGCACATTTTAAAGTGGTTTAAAACCATAAAATAGTATAATGAAAACCTGATCTGAGAAAATATGTGAAAGTGCCAGCATTTCCCCTTACACTGGTGCGATTAAATGAACATTTAAATGAACTGTGGATGCTACTTGAGCATAAGTAGCATAAAACTTTCATATTCCCTCAAACAGTCCCATATTTGAAGGTCCTAGCTCCATGAACCTCTCCTAATCATAGGTAGCACGCTCTTGTATAGAAATTGCTTTATTTGAACTAGCTTTTTCCTAAGGATCTTTAGTTTTATGGACATTTTTATAAGATGCAAGTAATATTAACAACAGTGTGGGACCTGTTCGGTTTCATAAAAAGGATATTACTTTTTAACTAGAAAATCTTGTTATTTTCACAAGTCATTTTTCTTGTTGTGTTAAATCATTTTATAATGATGAAGTGCAACGTGTTTTGTGGACGTGTTATATTGTGTTCCTTCACAATTATTTGTTTTATACTATTTCATGTTTTTCTGAAAGATGTTTTATTTCTACTTATAAAAGTTTTGAAGTGTGATTCAAAGTATTAAAAGAAAGTTGCTAGCTGGTTCAGTGTCCAATGTGTGTCTCTGACTACCATTAGTGTTATTGTTGTCTTCTGTATTTAGCTTAGTTTTGACAAAGTGATGAGAGTGTTGATTGTCTTTGGTGTAATTTTTGTCTGTATCTGATATAACCGTGTACTATAAATCTGAACGCTATTATGTAAGGTCTAATTTACAGATAGTTCCTCATTTCCATCGGTGTATATTTCTGTCTTTTGATATACTATCTACCTTTATAAAATGTCTGCTATTGGCATTTCTATAGTTAGAAGAAGAAAGTCAAATCTAGCTTGATAAGTATTAGTATACTTATAAAATAATAAGAAATTTCATTTTGCAAGTATAACTATTCACTTTTCCAAATGTGAAAAAAATTTCCGTTTCTGAGTGGTGTTATGTGAAATCTGATATTCGCCATCACTGACATAGGATTGAATTGGTGACGATGAAAAATGAATTGCTTTGTACTTTTAAATCATGCTTCATGAGTATCCCATTTCTTCTCCATCATTCATGACTGAGCAGAGTCACTTCTTGGGTCAGGATTCTGGCTAAGCACAAGCGATGACTCCAGAAGACCCTGTGTTGTATTTTTCTGTCTTCTCAGTGTATCAGAAGCACTGTCCACAGTTTGATTTAGATTTGTGATATGAAGGACCTGTGTTATTTTAATATTTTTTGTTCTAATCAGACCTATTCAGAATAATGGGCCATGCTGAGTATGACCATAAAATCTAGTTTGAAATATTTAACCCTAATTCCAAAGCAGTTCATGGCTTTTGCTGACAAACTACAGATACTGGTTAAGTATTGACCAGCAAGAGGGTGTAATTCTATGACATGTAAAAACATAATGTATATATGTGTACAGAAATACATTTTTCTATTTTTGAATGACTCTCACTCCACTGTTACACAATTTTGAGGTTTTCTTTTTAAATCAAAACACAGTTATTGAAAGTTTGTGATTTTAAAAGCCTTTTCAACTAAAGATATCTTAAACCCAGCAGATTTAGGTCACAGTACTATTGCCAAAAATTCAGTAAGTTTTAGTGGTTATATTAAACTTGTATGAAGAAAAATCATCCAATAGTTAATGATACTGAAATAACAGAAAAGGAGAATCCAGAAATAGAGATGTATTCTGACAAAGGATTTATAAATTGAGTAACCTTGAGCAAAAAACATCATTTATCAAATACCTTCTCACAAAAGAGAAAATAATATTCACTTTCCTAGCTTTAGTTAACTTCCTTTACAAAAAATATACTACTTTTGATTTGTTCATGTTTAAACAAATCACTGTATCTAAAGTTATTATACTTTACATGTTCACAATGTCACATAATTATGAATTTATGTTATAAAAACGAATGAGTTTTGTCTGTGCAGAGTAATGATAAATAGAAAAGAGCTCAACAGATGATTTTAAGACATATTCAAGAACTTCCAAAAAAGCTGGGCACTGAAAAAAATTCCAATTTTGGAAACCAAACCTGATACAAAATTCAAAGATGTGATTAACTATTCATTATCCATAAATAATTTTAATTGAAGTGGAAATGAGTTGGAATTTGTGATTTCTCCAGGGAAGTGGAATAAACACTTCTAATAGCACAGACATCGCAGGAAACTTTTGGCTTAATGGTATGTGGCGAATTATTTACCCTGAAGGGAGACATTGACTGAGGTCACTGAGATAGATGAATCCCAGATGTGACACATTTTCATTATGTTTGACACAGGAAGCTGACATGTAATTAAAGTATGATGAGGAATTATTTACTCCTTTTGAATGCCATAGAAATATTCAAGTTGTGTGATAGAGTTTCACTAATGAAAGCTTTGTCATTAAGTCTTAATATGTAGATTTTGTATTTTGTCTTAGAAATGTGGAAAGACCCCATCTCTTATGCTGACTGTCAGCATTTTTCAGGAGGGAGGTAAGAACATTCAGAAAAGTCAGGCAGAAACAACTGGACATTCTTCATTTATTCCATGGCTACAAAGCAGAGCCAAGCTCGTGTCATCCCACATGTAGACATTTCCTCATTGGGTAGGGCCTGTGCAAGCAAAACATTGAAATGTCTTTCATGCATATGTGTCCTCTATTGTCTTTATACCCATGTCAATGTCCCTCCCTAGCTGGAGACAGCAGCGTTAAATTCCCTGTTACTTTCTTTCTCTGCTCCCGTTGCTTGTCTCTCTACCTCCAATCTTACTTAAACCATAGCAAAGTACCACCAATTTCTGGTCTCCTTCCAAGTGAGTGATTTAAGTTAAGCATAAAGAGAAGATGTGTCTTAGGATTCAATCCACATTCTTTAATAGGAGTTTAAAGCCCTGTTCCAACTGGGAAGCCAGCCATGCCTCATTCAACTTCCTCATCCAGCTGAATGTTGCAGCCACACTATCTTGAGGTGCTGCAAATGGAGTCATGTTCATGCTACTTTCCAGACTTTACCACTACTGTCCCTCTCTGTAATGATAACTCTTTATTCCTTGGCAAATGAAGGATGTCTGTTTTGGCTATGTTTCTGTCATTGTTGGGCAAAATTAAGGAAAGAAAGGTTTATTTAGCTCACAGTTTGTGGAGGTTTCAGTCCATAATCAGCTGGCTCCAAAGCAGGGTGGCATGGCACAGAGGTAGGAGGACTTCAAGGCAGCTGCCAGAGAAAAAGGGAGAAAGAGCAAGCCTCTTTTCCTCCCTATACTGTACACAGGCCACCAACTCCCATCTCCCTTCAGAGCCAGTGTAGCACTCACAAAATCTCTGTGCCCTCCTCTTGACCAGAATGAAGATATTTACAAAGTAAGGATGTTGACTCCCTGCTGAGTATCTCAGTTAAACTTCTAAACTTCTCAAGTTGACACAATGTATCGACCATAACATATATGTATTTACAAAATAAACACAGAGGGATATTAATTGATAAACTCCAGTAATTGACAGTATTATTTTTAAGTATTGCTTTCCTGTCTTAATTATGTTATTGCTATGGCTGCTGTTAGGAGATATTATAATGTGTGTGAGTCCATGTGTGTGCATATTTATGTAGAATTAGAAGGATGGGAAAATCATGCATGAATTTAAACTGAAATTAAGGAAAGGAAGATGTCTACTTCATATTCAAAATTTACTAACCAGAAATTTATCAACTATTATTTTTCCATAGCTTTTCTTTAAGAGTATGTGCGTCTGTAACAGGCCAGAGCATTCCAAATACAATAGGTGAGCTTGTTTTCATTTTTATAGTCTTCTACAATGTGAAGAAAGTTGAACAGAAAGCATTTCTCTGCACAGACCATAGAAAACTAGAGAGACATTTATTAACACCCACAGGTCTACTACATAAGCACAGCCTTCTGCATAAATATGATTTTAATGATTGAAGTACTATCTATAAATACATAATTATGGAGAAATGACAATGTACATTTTAAGCTTTTGCTCAATGTATATTATAATACTTATTGGCTCACATATTATATGTGATCTCAACTATGAAAATTTATGCTTCCTGAATAAGCAATTTAAATAGAAATTTATATCCCTGACAGGGCACTGAGTTCACTGTTACCTCCCCTGATCATATTTACTTCATTTCTGTCCTTTAGCCTTGGTAGCTGAGCTGCAGTTAGATTCCCTGAAACAAAAAGGAGCCATCAAACGAACTCTCTTCCTCAACAACCGTCAGTCCCATCTCGTCTTCCCTCTGCTGGTAAAGCGGCAGAAATCCTTCCAATGTCAGAATTTCATCGTTTACCTTCGAGTAAGTGCTCCAGAGATCATATTTTTGGCCTGTCACATGCAAATCTGAATTCCAGCCATTCTCCTCCAATGAACAATCATCCTTGTCTACAGAGATCTCCATCTGTCTATTTTCTTTTTCATAAGAGGAAACTTTACGACTGACTGCTCTTGTTTTGACCCTGACTTCAACTAACCTAAGGATCTGTTGCTATTCATTTCTAAGACTTCTTTTTATTTTAAATAGGATCTTGATAACAGCACTCAACTCAGGTGGTTTCCATTTCTAACTGCCTCCCTGCTCCACAAAAACCATAAAAGTTCAACACAATTTATTTGAATTTTTATCCTATCTGTATGTCTTCCTAGATGTTATCAGTTGCATTTCAGATCCAACTCAGGAACACGTTCAGGCATCCAAAGCTTTGATTAAATGCAATTTACATTCGGGTGCTTTAAAAAGTAATGTTTTTAAACTTCAAAACCTACCAGAAAAATTTAAAAGTAAAGTAAAAATATTTATAACCCAGCATCCCATCTTGACATTGTTAGGCTGTGATCACTCAATATCATTTCTCCTGCTCCTCTAGGGAACTAGGGAAGCCCAAATTCATTACCACACGGAAGAATGAACATGACCATTCTGTCTGCTCATGGCCTGGTTGGCATACAGCTGACTGGTCCCGTTCCCTGCTGTGTGCTTAGTGCCTGCTGCTTGGCTCTCATCCCTCCTTTAGAGAGCTGTTTCTTTTTATAGTTGAACGTCACTTGTACTGAATATGTTTTGAAGTCCATGCAAGCAAGAGCTTAATGAAATAATAGAGGAAGAAGATTATCAGGATGTTTTCTTCTCTTGAGCCCAAGAGAAATCGTAAATTCTATCATTATGCAAACAAAAAACCTGATTCATGGTGATTTCTGTGGCACATATGTTGTATTTGGAGACTGGACTAATTCTACATGAGTTGTTGAGAGTCTGGAGAATAGGAAAGTTATCTCTAGATGCTTATTTCAGTGAGACTGGGGCTGTAAATAATTCCATCCCTGAACATGCATTGATTCTATTGACTACCATATACCACAGAAAGCAGCACATGTCTAAGAAGCACATGCCAATGCTTCATCATTCACTTCCATCGACTAAAGTCAAGTTTTATCCACCTTTTACAGACTAATATTTTGGACCTATTTGAGTTTGTGATAATTTTCTCTAGGATGAAATTGAATTCCGAGATAAATTATCTCCAATCAACATTAGTTTGAATTACAGTTTGGATGAATCCACCTTTAAAAAAGGCCTGGAAGTGAAACCAATATTAAACCACTACAGGAACAATATCATTACTGAACAGGTATGTCCTTAGGATGCTGTCCCAGTGAGGCTGGGGAGGGGAAGGCTCTTCCTGTGATCTGAAGGCCAAGGTCAGCCCATTCTATTTTCATTCCTGTACATAGACTTGTAAAATTTTGGGAGCTTTTTCTAACACATTTCCTGAAACTGTACTTTCGGAAGCTCTTTCTCTGTGCAACCAATATTTAATGTGTTAAAAATGTGACTGTAATGGAATCAGTGCAACCTGAATGCCTGCAAACAGTGCCAGGGTAGCATTCTTTACAGACATTTTGGAAGGAATAGGAATCGTACTTCACATCAGCAAGCCTATACTGAGAGGTCGCATTGTGACATAGGGTGTAGAGCTGGGTAGAATTGTACATGGTGAAATGAGCATTTTGGTTTCACTCAGTAGTTGTTTGGAATTTTCAAGATGAAATATGTGATTCAGGTTTTCCTAGCTTATCCCTGATGTGTGGTATGTTGGACATAGGCTCACATCCTGGTGGACTGCGGCGAAGATAATCTGTGTGTTCCTGACTTGAAGCTGTGGGCTAGACCGTAAGTTTAAATAAATAAACATGTATATTACAGCTAATGGAATACAGGTGTTTGCTTACAGCTCTGCTGAAGAAAGTACAGACTTCCAAATGCAGAAAAAAGAAGAGGAGGAAAAACACTACATAAAACTCCTTGAGCAGGGCCACACTGTGCTAGCTTATGGGTGGGTCAGTTGTTTGTCATGAGTGTCAAGTGATACACCATGAGGTTTTGCCTGGCCTGTTTCATCTTTCAGCAAAAGTCAGAAAAAATGTTTCTGTTCAAAGTAAACACGTGTGTAGGGTGGCTCAGGTTGTATTTGTTTGCCTCAGTCAAGTGAGCAAAGGATTCCAGCAGGTTGGGTCTGTCTTCACCGTAACCAAATGAGTTTCACAGCACCCTGTGACTCAAAGGCACCCTTAGAATTGTCAAAACAAAATTAATTTTAATTCTCTGGGAAAAACATGTAAAAGACACACAAGGGGGTAAAGGAGAATGTGTCACAAAACCACATAACTTCACGGTTGCTAGTAATGGCAAGCCCAACTCCAGCACTGGTGATTGCATCGCATTATGTTATAGAAAGAGATGGAACAAGGATATAAAATCTCCGGAAGTAGAAAAAGCAGATTTGTGCTCCTTTCTCTCTCAGGAACTATCTCACAGCCATATTTGGAATCTGCTTTGCAATCTCTCCAGGGGACTTTCCTCAAACTCTATAATTTAACAAGTGTCAAAAGCAATAGCTTTGAGTAGGGGTCAAAAGTGGAAGAGGCATTTCCCAATGTTGGTTTGATTTGGAGTTCAAAGTCTATTAAGTTTCCTCAAAATACTTCAAAACCCTCTATCAGCCATTCAGATCCTGTTTCATCTGCCTATTCCTTCCTTCTTTATTGTCCATTTTGCATTCTGTCCCCCTCTTGCTCTAAACCATCTCTCTGCCTTCCCCCACAGCTTATTTCTTCCTAATGTATGTGTTTCCTAATGTACAGTGTGCTGAAGCTGCCTCCCTGGCTTGTAACATAAATAATAAATTCATAGAAATTTTGCTAACCGATGGTTAAATATGTTGATAGGTAAAAACTGACCACACTGGGTGTGTATATTCTGTGTCTGTGTCTATGTCTGTCTCTGTGTCTGTCTCTGTCTCTGTCTCTGTCTCTCTCTCTCTCTCTCTCTCTCTCTCATATAGTTGTTACATATTTACCTCCATATGTCTTTTTTCCTGCCCTTCCCATCCAGAAATGTTTTCCCTTCATGATTATCCATCTTCTTTATCCTAGACTCACATTCACCATTTTGTTTCTTTTTTCCCCTAAATTCTTATAAATATATAAGCAATGATAGTTTCTTTGGCTCACAGTTGTAGAAACTTGGCAGTCCTAGCATGTCACCAACCTGTAACAATGGCCTACATGTAAGTGTCACAAGATGGCAGAATAACATTCATGGCACATAGAGAAAAAAGCAGGCCAAACTCATTTTTTAACAACGCCTTTCTTTGGATAGTGATCTGATTCCTACAAAGTTGTATGGAATCCATTGGTGAGGAAAGAGCCTGCCATGGCTTCATAAAGAATACTTAACCATTCATTTTAAACTGCATTTTCAGAGATAAGAATCAGATCATCATTGGAGATGAAAATCACCTTATGCTTACAATAAATGCAAAAAATGAAGGGGAAGGAGCCTATGAAGCCGAACTCTTTGTAATGATACCAGAAGAGGCGGATTATGTTGGCATTGAACGCAATAACAAGGTAATGTTATTTGCATTGCATATAATGTTATAATGCAAATTATATAAAAAGCTAAGTATATTTTTGAGTACTAGAATATTTTTGAGTTCAAGTAAATTTATCTATGTTGAGTTTCTTTTTGACCAAAAGGAAGCAAAACCATATCTGACTTTGTCAAATCCTAATAACAAGCCAGGGGAAGGATGGGCACACCCAGTGTTGATGCCTTTCTTTGCTACAATTGCAAAAATAAGTTGGCCAAAGATTCAGAGTTAAAAAACAAGGAAGAAAACAAAAGTAACCACTGCAATGAACTGGCTAACCCTCCCAAAATAAGTCCTTATTCTCACTGGCTTCTTTTGGTTGGTTTTGAGTTCCTTTTAAGTTACAGACAGGTTGCAGGAGGGCTGGTTTTTATTATGGGTTAGGGAAGAAGGTCAAACCAATACCTGCTAAGCACTGATAACTGCCTATAGCAGAACTGGAAAAGAAAACAAGTTCATTTATCTTTCTTCTTGGTCCACTTATAGGGATGGTGACCAGGAAAAACCTGATCTGCCACATTTGCTGGTGTGGAGCACTATTTATAACAGTGACAGTAGTGCTTTTTATAATCTTCTGGTTCTTTATCAGAACATAAATCTTCCTACTGTGTGTAATCTCAGGTCCTAAAGTGTTCTTACTCTCTAGATCTAGGAAACCATTATGAATATATTATATGTTAGCGGGAGAGAGTCCTTCAATTTCAGAAATATATGAACTCAAGGGCAGAAAGCATGTTACATATTTCTCTTATAGGAGTGGACACATCAAAGGTATCCTCTAAGTATTCACTGATGAACTTATTAAAAGTTATTAAATGTCTACTAGTTTTCAAATATTTCATACTCTAAGGAGCTTGTGCAGTCTAATGATTGAGTAGTTTAATGAAAAGGGATTCCTCTTTGTGATATTAGTGTTAAAGTCTTAGGAAATATAAAATTTGCTATTAAAACTTTTTGTCTCGTGGGAATTTTTATTTTAGTTGAATTATCTTCTCAGTTTAAAACTATCCAGATGAATGACAATAAAATGTCTTTGACAGCCATTTGAAATCATGATGGATTTTTATAGAAGAAATTAATAGAACTGTAAACACATCAAGTTATATACATTAAATATGTATAGATTTTTGTATGTCTATCGTACTTCAACAATGCAGTTTAAAAGTCCAAAAATATTAATCACCTACCTGGCAAGTGTGAGGTGATGAGTTTGATCCCCAGTACCAAAAATCAAAACAAAATAAAGTGCAAAAATGTTCTAACTCTCTAATTAGTAGAAAAGTTGATTAGAAGAAAACACATCTCATTTCTTTTCAAAAGTATTTGCAGCTGGGCAACCTGCCCTTCTCTATTTCAAAAATGAATATGAATTTCTACCTTAATTTCTCCAGGGAATGATCTGTATTCATCCCATTTTCCTGTTCCACTATTATGAAATTTCATACTCCTCATCTCTCTATGAGTTACTTCAAGATATAGAAATCAATGAAAATAATTAGAGCACTTACAAACACAACTTAGAAACATGGTGTTTAATAACCATTTTGTTTAATTTACTTTTTATTTTTTAATAACCATTTTGAACTGGAAATATTATCTCATAAGAATATGCACAAATAAAACTAAAGAAAAATATTGCCTCCTACAAATAGTTACATGTAAAAATATAAAGATAAATATGAAAACGAAATTTTAAGTATGTTTTCTCAAATGTTCCAGGGTTTCACTCATATTTTGTTTAAATTCCCTTTGTGTTGCCTCATTTATGACTTTGCTGAGCAAAGCAAGTATTCTAGAATGTTCTGTTAGCAAAATATCCAGTTTATTATTTCAATGGAAAATATGAGTGAATAGTTATCATTCTATCATTGATCATAAACTTTATAGCAGACATTATCCATAATCTCAAGGGAGCCCTTAATTATTTTTTCCATTTATCAGCTTCTCTTGGGAAGAGATTTAACTCAGGCTTTAAATTTTAGATTACTAAATCACATTCTCTTTTCTTTTCTGCATTTTTAAGCAGTTTGAAGTTTGTGTGCCTTTTTATTTGAACTGTGATAACTATATATATAATTTTTCCCTGAGGGGGAAACTAAGTGTAATTTTTGTTCTCTTATTGAAAACATTTGTCTTTTAGAAAATAGATTCTGATCATTACTTTCTCTCAAAACCTGAATGGAGCCAGCCTTTATTTATATTTTCCTTTACTGATCTTTCTTCTAAATTTTTTCAAGAATAAAGGACTACAGATGTTATTATTGTTGTAGCAACATATATAAGATGAAATCTTCCACTTCCACCATTTTTAAGTGTGCAGGGCTGTAATCCTCATTTTGTCGTGCAGCCATCATCACCATCCACCTCTGGGACACACCTCTCCTCTCCAGGGCCCTGCTAAGCACCACTGCACTTGCTGTGTCTCTGCAACCTGTGACAGGTCTCCACTTAAACCTCTTTCGGTCACCTCTCCTTCAACCTGTCCATAACCGGGCTGTTCCCAGCTCACATTTCTCTCTCCTGTACCTCCCATCTTGGAGAATGGTCTACTTGGTCTCCTGACATTCATTGAACTATTGCTGTGGGCTGGATACATCCCTGAATTCTCACATGCATTTAACTGAGTCAATCTTTATAATCATCTTATATGGAAACTGTCATGACGCCCACTGTAATCAGTGTTATACTCTCCATCCACTTTGATGTCACCTCCTCCAGGATGTCCTCTGATTTCTGAAGCCTACGTACATGTTCTCCTTTATCACTGTTTTTCTGTCATATATCAAGCTCTACTGAAATCTGTTTTCATTGCTTGTAATTACTTATTGTAATTGTAAGAATTAGAAATTCAGTGAGGAAAAAAGATCTTGTGTATCAGGACTTGGTACCTAGCAGGTTCATAGTAATTTTAGTGAACGAATCTCTGGATGATTCACATAGCTCTAAGAGCTATAAATAAACTTAAAATACCCTGAAGAAAACTAATCTGTTTTTCTCATCACAGAGAGGAAATAGGGTTAAAAAAAGAGCGGAAGGGATGTGGAAGGGAGAAAAGTCATTGATTGATGTAAAGAACCAGTTCTAGGAAGCTGGAAACATGTCCATGGAAACTTTAACCTTTAGGTGAGATAAAAATATTCACTATAAAAACTAAATCCTTGGATCCTATTCAAGGAACATGTGTGAACTGTTAAAAGTTTTTCTAGGATTCTTTTCTTTTTTCTGTTTTCAGAATTAGGTTAATAATCCCAACATGAAATATCTCTGTAAGATTCTAAATTCCTAAAGATTTGAAAGTATGCTAAACTTACCTTTGAGAAAAGATTACCAGCTTTGGAAAAGAGTTTTGTTTTTAATTCCTTCTGTTTACTAATGTGTCATTAGTATATTCTCTAAGAGCACGTATTATACAACGCTCCAAATATCAAGGTTTTTCCTCTTGATAGGAGGTTAAATAGTATCTGTTTATATTGCAAAACACCAGGAGAGAACTTAGCTACCCTGTGTAAGCTGCCCTGTGTTTTCTGAGATCACCGGATGCTTTGTACCCAACTCTGCCTCAGGCAGTGAGAACAAACAGCTGCAAAAACCCTGTCCTCCTAAAACGTGCAGTCTTGAAGTGTGTGATGTACATGGAGAATTTTTTGCTTAGATATCTGAAGTTTGTTTAAGTTATTTGTGTCATTGGTTTAGTTTGGGACTTCTTTCTTAAAATAGAAAAGAATGGAGGATCATTTGTGAAACTTTCATTTGAAAAATTCACATTACTTATATAAAATTTCAGTGGTGCTGACACATGGGTAAATGATCATCATATTGGAAGGCTCTCGCAAGAACTTCTCCCAAGGACAGAAATTCCTCAAAGGGTAGTTCTTTGTGATGCGGTCTCCATTGTTCAGCTTTCTCTTCTCTGAGACACAATACCAAATTTACACATTTTAAAGGAGGGCAGGTTTATTTGCTTACAATTTCAGCACATGCTTGGCAGACCTCAAGGAACAGACATGCTGGCAAAAGGGTGTGGTGAGAACAGAGCAAGGAAACAGTGACAGAGGTTGGGGAGAGGGACACAATAGTACTTAAGGCCACGCCCCCAAGTCCCTTCCAGACACACCAGAAGTGTGCTCCACCAATCCCGAGGCAGATTCCATAGCCATGGAAGTTGAAACCCTACCCTAATCACCACACCATCATGTTGCAAGTTTATATGTGGAATGAGGGTAATAGGCAGCAGGTTAACAACACACCATCACTTAGAGTGAAAAATGGGGTAGCATAAATTGCTCTCACCAAATGGAGAACAGGGGATGGGGCCACTATTTTTTGAAGTAGGGAAAGAAAATCTGGCTGGGAAAGAAGGGGCAGATTTCAAAGCAGCAGAGTATAGCAGAGGCAGACATAGGGGAAAGCAAATGGCAGTGAAAATAAACTCCTTCTTGTCAGCATAATGTTGAGATCTTCTCCAACGTATATTTCCAAGCATCTCTTCAAACTTGAGTTTTCTAAACACTAATCAGAAAATGATTATGGGAGATAGAAGGTGGCTAGAAGCACTGGGTAAACATAAAGGAGTTCTCTTTACATCTTAACTATTTGGCAGACTGAAGAAAATTGATTATGCAATCTCAAAAGGAGACCATGTGGGGAGAGATTTGTGTCCAGGCAATACTCTTGCAAGTAGTTGAGTCTTATAATAATCTCTACATACCGCTGTCATTTTATTTTTATAATGTAAGGAATAAGCTTGATTGTTTGTGATCTTCATGTCCTGAATTTAACATTAACATTAGTGAAAATAATGTCCAGAAAATGTACATAAACACCATGTAAGCATTTTTATTCCATGAAAACTATGTTTACTACTCAACATCTTTCTTCCTAAATTTCTGCGCTTTTCTCTCAGGTTTCTCTTCTGAGACAATGGTCACAGAGTAACATTTGTACACAGTTTCCTGCACAGGTGCTTGAAATCAAAGGGGGCTCCCAAGCCTTTGCATGGCTTCATGGTGTGATGTAGTAATTTATTCTGCCTCCTGAACTTGGGCTGATGTTCTTTCCCATTGCAGGGTTTTCGGCCAGTGAGCTGTGAGTACAAGATGGAAAATGTGACCAGGATGGTAGTGTGTGACCTCGGGAACCCTATGGTGACTGCAACAAATGTAAGAGAAGCCAGCAGCACTAATTTCTGTCTAATTGAATTTTATAGAGAATGAGTGGAAAGGCTCTTCAATTAGCAGGCGGCAATTCAACATTCAGCAGCTAAAATAAATTAGGCAGGAAATCATCAGGGGATTTAGCATTTTAACCTACACAGAGTCATAACCACAGGTTACAAACACAAAAAGATGTACACTTTTATGTGCCTGCTCTTTAGACCTTACATTTATGGGGCTTTTAGTTGTAACAAAGTCTGAAGACTTTTTTTTTTCTTACTAGAGCTATTTTCTTTGAATATCTTTCTTTGAATTTTACTGTAGACTCCTTTGAATTAAAAAATAGAACATAAGCAAAAAAGGAACCTTAAAATAAACTAATTAGAAATGATTCTTTTTCCATTATGCCTCTTATATGAATAGTCTTCATAGTATTTTCATAAAGCACTACTATACTCCAGTTTTGAATCAGTTTACTAGTCTGTATTTCCAGAATAATACAGAACATTGCTTGGTAGCAAGGAATAAATTAATGAGTCTATGACATGATTGTGAAAGTATAGGAATTGTTTTCTTCCTCTTTATCCTTTTCTGTATTCTTTCTGTCTCCAGGTTTAGGAACTTTCTGCTCATGATTATTGATGGAAAATAGGTTTATTTTATGCAATCATAGTTTAATTACACTCAGTTTAAGTACTATTTGTAATCAATCACAGTTTAAGTACTTCTTGTAGTCAGTATCACAGTACCAAGTATTTTATGCAGTCTCAAGACAGAAAAAAATCTGAAATCTGAAAACACTATATAATGAAAACTTGCAAAAATTGACCTTGACATACTCTGCTATTTAAAGTTAGATATTTGTCTTTATCAGTGAAATGACATGCTGGAAAAAAATGTATGAAAATTGCACAAATTTATATTAGTACCAATTCTGACAGATTACAGAGAATGATGGTCCCTTGGCCATCCTCTTAAAGCAGCTCTGGAGTCATCATTGATCCATATCCTTCCTTCGGCAAGGAGGTCAGGTTCTCACTTTCATTGTAAAAGTGTAAAAAATATTCCAGTAAATAAATCTCCTAGCTCAATGCTTCACACATTTGCCTAAGCATTTAAAATTGAAATACTACTGATTACTAATTTGTACATTAAGATACTATGCTAGAATAATGTTTTTGCTGTTTGTGCTATAATATTGCAGTGGCCTTGAGTACTTAAAAATGTGCCAAGTATAAACTTGTTCGGTCAAAAATATTTAAATAAAAGTCAAATTTTTTAACAGATTACTGCTGATTAACCTGTTATGAATTTCTCACAGTTAAGAAGATTCATTTTTAGTTACTCTGAATTTTTAAGACAATCCTACATGTTGAATATTTTTTTCTGCTTTATAGATAAGGAATCCAATGCCTAAAAAGTCAAATGAACCTAAATACACAAAAGATGAAGGACAGAACCAGGTCTCAAACACTTCCTGACAAGAAATCCCATGTTATATCTGGTCTACAAAACTATATAATATGTTTGGATAAAAACTAATGGGTAATACATGGAAATTAAAAGAAAAAAAAATCATTGCAAGCATAGTACTCCTCAACTATAATCCCAGAACTCTGGGAGGCTATGGCCAGGAAGATTGCAAGTTCAAGCCTTGCCTGGGCAATTTAGTGATTTAGTGAGACTCTGCATTAAAATTAAACAAATAAAAAAGGAATATAGGTCAGTGTGAAGGCTTTGGGTCAATCCCCAGTATTGCAATTAATTAATTAATTAATTAATTAATGTCATGAATATGGTGTCTAAACTGAGATGTGAGAAAATTTTTTATTTTTATCCTTCTATTTAGAAATTAATAATACATCCTTTTGTTAGTTTTCACAAAGAAAACCCACTACCCAATTTGATATAAAAAGGAACACCTAGGGGCAGATAGACATGAACTGAGATGGTGATAGTAGGGGTTTTGTCTGTTAGTGTGGTCATTTCTTCCTTTCCCAGTAATATCAAAAGTGTTAAATCTATACCAAAGATTGTGTAAGAACATCAATAACTAAGAACAATCTTAGGAAAACATCTGGCCACCCATGTCATTCAAAGAGCAGTATAAAAGTGACAGTGTGGTCTTAACCATGAATGTGTTTATGTAAAGAGATGCCAATCCATTTTATCAGCAAATAATCTTTAGAAGTCAGGAAAGTAAACTGTTTATGTTCACTTATCTCTGAGGTCTATAGCAGGACAAACCTAAGTGCTTTCTTATCTTCTCTTTAATGCCTTTAAACACATCAGATATTATTGCATTCTGCTTTATTATAAAATACTTTGATTTATTTACTTTTTCTCTGTGTACATTCTGAAAACTCTCAGTGCAATGCAGTAAAATTCCAAATGGAGATGAAGTCCTAAATATATTAGAAAACATTGTAAATAAGCAGATATTTGAGTCCCCAAATATTTTAGCAAATTATTTTTGCTTGATTTTTAATTCTAACATAACAAAATATTCTAGACAGCATTTAAAAATTTTATTTCTGATTTTTAAATAGTGAAGTATTATAAAATAGTTATGCATCACTAAGGTTCATAACAACTTATAAATTTTGTTAGCAAGAATTTGAAAAAAAAAACTCTTTAGAATAAGCATCCAGAGACCTGGTATTGAGTATGATTTAGAACACATGCACTGCTCCAGGGCAGCACTGCCCCAGGAGGCAGTGCCTGTGAGAAGAGTGTGAATCCGTGCTCTGTACCTCGTCCATTGTCCCCCGGACAGTGGGGTCTATGAGAAGAGTGTACGGACACACACCTTTGCAGGTGGACTCACCAGAACCCCAAGACTTAGGACAGCAGTCATCCCGGGGTGCGTGGGCACATGCACACCTTTGGATGGCAGAGCAATCAGTGAGACCAGCAATGTGGAGGCATCTGAAGCAGCAGAGAGGAGCCAGCGTTTGGGCTCTGGAGAGCTCAACCAACATAAGACCAGTCCCAGGCCCCACATCCAGAGGCCAGGATCAGCTCCACATTCAACACATTTCTGGGTTCTAACATGGACTCTATCATAGAACTGTAAACACCAGAGGTATTTGACGACTTCTATTCTCCTCTAGATGTAGGTCTGGTAGACTATCCTTTTCCTGTTTGATTGGATGTCATCTTATTTTGTTTTGTAGTTTGAGGTTATTTTTGTATTTGAGGTTTTGCTTTTCTCTCTCTTCTGTCTTTGTCTGGTCTCATTTTTCTTTCTTTGTCATTCTGTTTCTCTTCCTTTTTTTTCACTATTTCGATTTCTTACCTTTTTCATTTTCTTTTATTGATCCCTTTCTGTTTTTCATCAACTACTTGAATTTAAACTTTCAGTTGAGTAATCATTGTCTCTGCCCTTCCTGATTACTCCTTCACATTCTATTTCATTCTTTCCCTCCTGTGTCCACCAGTATCACAAAACTCAGTGGTCACCTTTTCACTTCCATCCTTGACTCTACTATATCTGACCTCATTCATCACTATCCTGTTTTCTACCCATTTTAACCTCTCACGCCCCACAGAAGGGTGAAATACTCCACTAAGGGCAAAGTCATGGCAATAAAGTGCACAATATAGGTGTGATTTTGTTATGCAACCATAGAGTTTGCTCTTGTGCATGGAGATAGCAGGTTAAGCTACATATGAAACTATAGTTACTATTATCTATACTACTTTAACCAGGATGTCATACATGTTATAAACAATTTGTCTCCTCTGTACGGTAACACTATGATTACATAGAGCCATACTCATCACCACAGTTCAATACCAAAGGATTGGTAACTGAACCAAATAATAATCTTGCATCCTTTACAAATTAGGAAGGTAGGTTCTTGGGATAGCTACAAAGAACCGCCTACATCTAGAGGCCATCCCTGAAGAACAGATATCTTCTAAAGAAGCCTCAATGGCAGTGATAAAGCTTTCATAAGGAATCAGTGAGCTTTGCCATAGAAAATTAAATAAAACAAAAAGAGAAGGTAGAAAATGACATGATGCAGAAGCAAAATGTAGCCCCAGAGCCGCAGCCCTGCACACACCATATGTATGCACCACTTATGGGAGCACTCAAGTGTATCAGAAAACCATTAATAGGCATTAAAAATCAAATAAATGATAACACAATTGTAATGGGAGACATCAATACTCCATTGTTACAAAGAGATTTATCAATCAGACAAAAAGTCAGCAAAGAAGTATCAGAACTGAACCAATCCTGTGAACAAATGGACTTAGTAGATGTTCACAGGGTGTTCCACCCAACAACAACAGAATATACATTCTTCTCAGATGCACATGGGACATTCTCTAAAATAGACCATATACTAATCCGCAGAACATTCTTAAGTAAATGCAAAGGAATTGACATTATCTCATGCATATTATCTGATCATAGTGCAGTGAGATTGGAAATGAATGGCAAAAGAAATCACAAAAATCTGCATGAACACATGGAAATTAAATAATACCCTTCTAAACAACCAATAGGTCACAGATGAAATAAAGGAATAGATTAAACTATATCTATAACTAAACAAGAATACCAATACAACATACCAGAACTTATGGGATGCAATGAAAGCCATCCTAAAAGTGAAATTTATAGTGGTGAATTCTCATATCAGGAAAACAGAATGAGCACAAGCAAATAACCTAATGTTTCACCTCATGCTTCTAGGAAAAGAAAAGCAATGCAAACCCAAAGCCCATATAAGGGAGGAAATTATGAAGATTAGATCTGAAATTGACACAATGCAGATAAAGAAAAAAAATACAAAAAGTTAATCAACCAAAGAGTTGATTCTTTGAAAGAATAAATAAAATTTATAAACCCTTATCCATCCTTATTAAAAAGGAAAGAAAAATTAAAATTCATTCATTGAGGAATGGAAAGGATGAAATCACTGTAGATCCTACAGAAATTCAGAAGATCACCATTACCTACTTCAAAAAATATTACTCGCACAATATGGAAA